AGCGTCGAACGTTGAGAACGTGCCAAGTGGAATCATCTCGAAGCAGTGTAACTGCCCGATGGTTACTTGAGATGTTTTAGTATAAATAGTAGTAGTCATGTAGTTTCTCGCGTGTGTTCACAATTCTATACAAAGTCACTCATATAGATTCGAGTACCCAGCGTGTGAGAAAGAATTGTTGAGAAATGTATGTGTGAAACACCAACTTTATTAATCAAAGTCATTTACTTTTTCAGAAATTTACTTGCTTTCTTCTTTACATTCCTGTCGAACCTTCTCATTTAAAGCCTTATTTATTTTACCAAGTCCTTTCTTCATGCAATTTATTTAAAACCTCTTTATTTTATTGTCATTTAACCCATATCCAATTTAATCCAAAACTTCAAAATCAACCTATGTCCTAGGATCAATCTGATCGATCCTGCGAGTAACCAAATAAGTAACCATTTGGAGGATCAGCTGTTGTTTACCAAATACCAAGGTAAACATCCTGGCGATTTTGTTTTCCTTCAGAATCTTCGTCGGAGTGGCTCGGGTGGTGGAGGGCTGCGTGGCTGGCCGAATTTGCAGCGATGGGAAGTGGTCATACTTGGCGAGCTGAACAGAGGCAGGCGTAATGTGGAAACTCGGTGCGAGATGGTGCTCCATTTGTGTCGTCGGCGATAGCTCTCTCGTCTCATTTTTTCAGATCCACTCTCATTTGTGATTTTCATTTGCAAGGTTTCTGATTTCAAGAAATTTGACACAAATTCAAGGTTGTAAGGTTTGTAATTTTGATTCAGTTTTGAGATTGTGATTTTGATTCAGTTTTTCTTATTTGTATGAGTTTCAGATTTGAGATTTCTTTTCTGTTGTGGATTAGTTTTCTGTTAGATTTGAATTGATATCCATGTCGAGAGGACTCAACCTGGAAAACTTGTTTGATACAGAACATGTTCGAAAATTCGCGTTATGAGATCTTTCTAAGTTGTTTCATGATTGCGATGAACACTTAAAGTGGCATTTTCTTTTGTTAAATTTCATGTTACAGGGATTTAAAAGTGAAACAAGGTTCACATCAAAATATTATACCAACAAGATCGAAGAAACCTGCATTGTACCCTATTTTGGCATGAACTGAAGTGGCAGCAAGTCTGTCTTGAATAAGTTGTACCTGCTTTGATTGATGTCTTTGTGATGTGTAGTTGTATTGGGTGTTGGGTGACTATTTGTGGATTGGTTTGGTTTTCACATTTTAATCCTGTTTTATTAACTTGATAGAAGATGAGCAGCTGGCTTAGCAGGAAAGTTTGTGCAACAAAGAAAATGATGAGTTTAATTGAAGAGTAGATACAAGAAAAATGGTACCTAAACGATGAGTTTAATGTCTGTAACATAGATCTGCGCTACTCCGTCAATCTACCATGCATTAATATCGGCAGGCCTAAACGGCCAACATATATACCAATTGAGGTGATGATTCTTTGTGATAATTTATGATAATTTTTACATAATGTTTACTTCTTTTAGATTCTGTGGAAAAACCAACATATGTTAGGTTTCTGGTATCAAACTCTGCAGCTGGTTCTGTCATTGGAAAGGGTGGTCCGACTATCACTGATTTTCAGTCACAATCTGGAGCATGAGTTCAGTTGTCACGCAATAATGAATTCTTCCCTGGAACTACTGATAGGATTATCATGGTATCATGTGCTATCAATGAAGTACTACGGGATGTAGAGCTTATTCTTTCGAAGTTGCTCAGTGAGGTAATCAAGGTGATATTGCTTTATAAATAAAATTGTACAAGGTTCTTGGTAGAATGATTTGTTTTCCATTACCTTAAGGTATAATGAACTTGCATGCTTAATGTAAAGTACACTACTTTTTAACCTTTATTCAAAGTGGACTAGCAAAGGTCAAATCCAAGTAATCCTAATGCAAGTGACCTTATGTACTTCATAGACAATGGTATTGATTACATAAAACGGTTTTTGCAGCTAAATATTACAGCCACAGGTTTTGAGGGATTGTGCACCTAGGAGTGATGCATAAGACAAGGTATTTCTTAATGATGGAATAAGTGTCCTAAGTTTTAGAGTGAATTTCAAGATGGAGATAGGAGTCTTGACATACTCTTAGATGATTACAAGCATTTGAGCCTTTTTTTACTACTCCTTTTAAGCCAACATTATGTGTAATAAGGTAAGAACTAAAAGTCAACCGTTTTAAAGTCCATTATAAGTGCAATTTATCATGTATTATGTTGATTGCTTAATCAGGTTGTGTTTATATTTATACTAATAACATATGCTATATCTTAGATGGCACAAAATGAGGACCTTGCAGGATATCTTAGAAATAATATGTTTTGATCTTGTAAACCATGATAAAGTGAAAACCTTGCAGATATCTTAGGTGGCATGCCTATGAAGAGGAAATTATGCAGATCTTTCTTTTGTATTTTGTTAGGATTTTTTTATGGACTTTTTTGAACTTGAAGAGTGGAGATTCTAAGAACGAAAATGGTGGAAAATTTTCCCATTTGTTTTGCTAGCTATTAAGCCAATACCAGTTCTAAATTCGTAGAATTCTTGAATAAATAGAGGGAATAATATTAGACTTGTGGTATTTCACATTTCACATTAGCAGCAATTTTATTTTACACCCTTATTTCGTATTTCGTAGAATTCTTGAACAAATAGAGGGAATAATATAAGGTAACATTTCTGTTATTATTATACCTTCTCAGTTTTTTCATTGATTAGATAGAATCTTCTAATTTCTTTTGGTTTGTACATTGCCAAAAGCAAGATGATGTGCTGGCAAGATGATGCTTATGAACAAACAGCCTCGACTGATGATAGTTCCTTCACCATGACTGGTCTATTGGAGCGGTTAATTACAACAACAGATTTAACCGATTACTTGTGGTACTCCGCAGAGTGAGTAATAAAGAACTCAGAAGTTTTTAAACCATAACATGAAAACATTCATTTTGGTTTTTCCATGTCAATTTTGTATTATTGTAGTATCATCTTTCATGACAATTCTATATTCCATACTTGCTGTCTATTATTGAATCACAGATGTTGGCCCTCCTCATGTTGTAATATCTTTGGCAGATGGGAAGGTATGAATACACAATTGTCAAGGTATGCATACACTATTGTAGCATTTGGAAATCTCCAAATGAATAACAATAGAAAGAAAGTTATGGTGATTGCAGGCTTGGGAACTGAGTTGAAAGAAGATACTCACTGCTTGTACAGGAAGACAAGATGAAATTTTTGGTGTGACTTCTGTTTAGAAACCATTCTTTTAATTGGTGTATGTGATTGATAGTTGGTGTATTTGATTAATAGTAATCATGCATTTCTGGAGATTGTCATTTGACGATGAGTCTGGCATCTGCAAAATAGGATACAAGTTCTAAATTTAGTTATCATATTTCTTAGAATACTCTCAAGTCTACTATTTTCCCATACTGTAGATTATGTCATTAGCCATACATAGTGTGTTCATTAATTGCATATTGTTCATTTTTTAAAGGTTTTGAGGATCAGAAATAGTATGGGCAAGGCAACCTTATCCAAGATGATTGTGATATGCCCAACAAGTGGTGAACAATTGGCACAGAGAACTTAGAGCTTTTTCACTATAATTCATAGAAGCTAAAATATGTAGTAGCTTCTGGTTCACAATGATTTTGATGTTGTTCAAACTATTCATCTATTCTACTTTTGGAATCTTTATAGCTTTCACTTATGGTTCTCACTACTACCTTAGTCTATTTGCGTAAGAATAAAGATATTGCTAAAATCCTACTACTACCAGCATCCTAAGTTCTTAGCTTTAGCATTCATGATTTGAGTGCACAAAAAACTTGTTCTGTGCAGAGTAGAGTCTATGATGAGAATAGTGAAATTGAATTGAAACAAAGAGATTATAATAACTAGAACATGATTAACCATTTACATTCTAACAAAATGTTGTTATTTTGTTAATCATAGTAACAACATTGCTTGTCTGATATAGTACACAAACTAGATTGGCTCATACATAACCATACTTTGCCTAAACTCTTTGATGATTAAATCATGATATTAAGCAAGTTTCTTTGTTTCATTTAGCAAAATTTTAGAGGATTATTTTTTGAAAGAAATATTTTAAAGGACTAAAAACGAAATTGACAATATTTAGAGGGACTAAAATATATTTAACTTAGGTATTATTGTATTCTAAAGAAACAATAAGAGTAATATTTGTAAATTTTAACAACTCCTATGAATATTATCATTGAAACTCACCATTTTCACGGATCACTACAACCACAATACATTTTTATTTATTTTAATCAATATAATATTTATAAATATTTAGTTATTAGTGATATTTGTAAATATTTGTAGTTATTAGACATATAGATTTATCATGTTGATGATTTGTTACATGTTTCTTTTTAAATATTTTTAATTAGTGATTTTATAATAACAAGTCTTTTACTAGTAAAACAACTAAAATTAGTTTAGTGGTCGAATATCCAACTAAACTAACATAGTTTAAACAAATTTTATTGGTTTAAATTTTCTTGTCACTGTTATATGAGAATTTCTTTTTACATTTAATAGCGGTGAAAATCACCCTTGAAAACTCGTAAATACTCCAGAGATACACTTCTGAACGCATCTATCAACATGTTTCGAAAATATATCTCTGAAAATATATATATATTTTTATGTTTTATAAACAAAATAAAAAGATAAGACTACAAGAAAAAAAACTAAACGTAGTCATTATAGTGTGTATCAAATCAAATATTTTCTTTCATTATTGTATAGGATCACAATACACAAAAAAAAAAAAAAAGTATACAAATAATTCAAGGTATTTATGATTACATCACATTATATATTAATAACTTGGAAGGTTCAATTGAACCTTCAAATAATTTCTGAAAAATCCTAATTAATCTAAACTAGACACTACACTACATTGCACAAACAAATCAAACTGATTCTTCAATTTCTACTAAATGTGTTCATAGTTGAAGAATAAAATGAAGTAAAAGGTGTTGATCTTCCACTTTGTTGCATACCACTCAACAGAGAAGATTGAAAAGATTCATGACCAAGTGGCACAGGTCTATCAGGCAAATTAGGAATATCAATATCACCTTCCAACATCTTAAGTGCCTCAGCAATAGTAGGCCTCAATGCAACCATTGCATGAGCACATAGAATTCCAACAAGCACAAACCTTTCCATGATTTTCTCTGGCCCTTCATCTCTAATTGATTCATCAAATATTTCATCAACTTTTCCGGATTTCGCAAGTGACCAAGCCCAATCAGTTATCAAAACAACAGGTGAGTTCATTGTATCAAGCACTTTTCTACCACTCATTACCTCAAGTATCACTATACCAAAACTATAAACATCACTTTTTTCTGTTAACTGTCCATATAAAGCATACTCAGGTGCTAAATAACCATATGTTCCTGCTACTCTTGTTGTTAAATGAGACTGTCCTTCATTACCTTGTTTCGCCAATCCAAAATCAGCCACCTTCGCTTTCATTTTCGAGTCCAAAAGTATATTCGTCGCCTTGATATCGCGATGAAAAATCGGCGGTTTGATCTCGTAATGCAAGTAAGCTAGCCCTTTAGCTACATCAAGCATTATATTCTTCCTTTGTGGCCAAGTTAGCTTATTAGCACCGGTAACTGATAGCTGATAACTTAAACTTCCATTCGGCATATAGTCATAAACCAAAAACCTTCTCTTACCTCTCACACTATGACTTGTAACACAACAGCCTCTTAAAGCAAGAAGATACCTATGCTTAATTTTGCTTATAATCTCAACTTCATAACAAAACTCTTCATCTCCTCTAGTTTCCAAATCAAAAATTTCTTTCACAGCAACCAAAGTTCCATCAGAAAGTGTTCCTTTGTACACAACACCATCACCACCTTGACCAATCTTATTCTTCAGTGAAAACTTGTCTGTAGCCTTTTCAAGTTCTGATATGTGAAACCATTTAGCTCCTGTATTAGGCAAAACACTGTCTCTAACACTGTTTTCAACTGACCTGTGATAAAGATTTTCCCTCCTCATCTTATCCCATTTTTTATACATAATAATCAACACAAAAGCAAGAACAACACCAACAATAGCACCTAATAAACCAAAAACAAGTTTCAGAATTTTTCCATTGTTTGATGATCCTTTTGATGAAAGTGGCATACCAAGTATACAAGCAGCTGCAGCAGGATCTGTAGGACCAAATTGATTCACAATACCAATAGCATACAAAATTGAAAAGTAAAAACACTTGGATGAATTTTTTGGATCAATATTTACAAGCTGAGAAGTCACTTTAAAACCAGCATCAGTACATACACTACAACTAGTTTCAGCTTTCAAATCACCATTACAAGAAGTATCTAAAGGATTAATCATACCAACTTTTTGTTTCCAGTCTGTGATGTTTGAGATACCAGCACAGCTTGATGTGTTGGTGACAAACTGAGTTGAGTTTGGGAAGCAAGTAGGGACTAACAAAGGTTGAAGTTTCAAGGACGAAAGCTTGAGTTTGAAGTCTTGTAAGCATGCTGTGGAAATGTTTTCATTTGGGAATTGAAAGAGTTGAGTTTCTTTGAGGTGTTTTGCAAGTCCTATACCAACAAGACTAAGAAGTGATTGACAACAGTGTTGTGTGTCAATTGGGTCTCTGCAGGTTGATGTGTCCCATGGAAAGGTTTCAACATAGCTGAGATCTATAGGACATGATGCAGCAGATGCAGAATGAGTAGTAGCTATGAAAAAGGTGAACAAGAGGAGAAAGGGAAGGAACATGATTTGGTGGTTATTATTATTATTATTATTATCCATTTTTGGATTTCTGTTGAAGACACAGACAGAAACACAAACACTGTTTTATTTTTTTTGAAAACGTTGGAGGGTTATAATAGATGTTTGAGAGAAGAGTTTGTTTTACTAGTCAACCTCGGCATACTATGGTCAAAAAACATGTTCTGTATATTAATGTTAATTAATACAAAATCACATGATGAAATGAATAAACATCGTAGCTTATTTCTTTTGCTTGTGTGTTAGTCAAATTGTTTCTATGAATTTTCGTTAACAATGATATTGTGGTAGTTAAGGGAACCTTCCTACTGATTTCCGTGACAAAAGTATAGATCTATCTGCAAATGATTTTTTTTCTTCATTTTATTATTATTTTTTAAATTCTGAATTTAAAACAACAATTAAGTTTTACACCAACACTTTCTAAATCTTACCTATCTCTCACTATTTGACTATTATTCATTTGATTTACTCTTCTTATTAAAGAATACAAAAGTCTTCTCTGAATCTGGATCCGTCCCAGTTTATTCTCTTATGCACTTTCAACAATACTAATCTTTATCCTTAGATGATATTCTAATTCTATATCTATTCAAAATCATTATTATTTATTGTTTTTCAACTATTAGATTTGGAGTAGGATAGAAACTTGAAGAAAAATAACAACAGACGATACATTCTTGTCTTCTTTATTCTTGTATTCTTTCTATAAATTAAAATCATTTAAATATGCTATTTTCCTCTAATTTTATTATTATAGGTGTTACACCAATATTTTCTCTAATACTGTCATTTCTAATCTTATTGTATTTACTCTTATCACATCTAATATAACATACTCGTATATGTTACACTTACTTTATTTTTCGTATCGGTTTGTTACCCCTCGTACAACATTGTTGGTCTTAAAGTTGTCCAATAAATTTTTTCGTACTTTCATGTCTCATATAATACTTGATAACTTCCTCCATTTCAATCATCCAATTTTAACTCAATGATTTACGTCTCATTCTATTTTTCCATCGTTGAGATCTGAAAAAGTGTCATCATGCACATTTAAAAATGACATTCTTCTAAAGACAAAAGTTCAATAAAGACGTGTGAATATAATATCTTCTTGATCATCAGATGTTATGATAATTTGATTGTAACTCGAGTAACTAAAAATATTTTTTTTTTTTTCCCAAACAACCTATCTAACATTTGATCAATAGAGAATAAGGAGAAATGATCCTTCCTTGTGGCCTAATTTAACTTGTAATATATGTAAATTCTCAATCGAGTCACATCTTTGGTATAAATCAACTCATTATTGTCATTCTTGATAACTATTATGCCTCCTTTTTTAGAACATACTGTATCTGACTTACCTATACACTTTCAGAGATGGAGTAAATTATCCTAGCATCCAACCACTTTATGATCTCATTCTTCACCATTTTCTTCATAATTGGGTTAAATCTTCTTTGACTATCTATGATATTCTTTACATTCTCTTCTAATAAAATTTTATGCATGCAAACAGTGAGACTGATTCTCTTTAGTAGCCATTTTCCAAGAAATAGTATTTTTATACCTCTTCAAAAATGACAAGAGAAGACTCTCATATGTTGGTGTCAAGTTAGAAGCTATGATGACAGATAATGTTTGTCATGCCTCCAGGTAGGCATATTATAAATGAGATAGAAATTGTTTCAACTCCAAAGCTGAGGTTTTTACCATATATGGCACATTGTCTTTTATCATCTCATTAGTGATTTTCAAGGTTTCAAATTTTCAAACCAGCTTGCATTAAGTAGCTTTGGTGGTGAATCACTTATGATTCCTTCCCTTTTCAATTCTCCATCATCTAAAAACTCTAATTCATTCATTGATTCATCATTGTCTTGGAGAAAATTTATTGTGGACTAAAGAGTCCCAATTAGCATTTTAGAACAATCAACCACATCTTCTTTAGTGTATTTCAAAGCATTCAATGCATTAAAAACCACATGTTGACCATTGACTCTCATGGATAACTCTCTTTTTTCTATTTCAATCAGAGTTCTTCATGTAGTAAGAAAAGGTTTTCCCAACATAATGACAATGTCTTCAACAAATATTAAAATCTATAAAAATGAAATCAATAGGAAACACAATTTGTCAACTTTTATCAACACATCTTCAATATTCTATTGGGGATAGAAAATGCTTCAATCAACTAATTGGAGGATCATGGTAGTAATTCTTACGTCTCTAATTCTAAGCATTTTGAATATGGACAAGGGAATTAGATTAATGTGTAATCCCAACTCACATAAATATCTTCCACAACACTTATCTCCAATATTACAAGGTATTGTAAAGCTTCCAAGGTCTTTGAGTTTTGGTGGAAACTTTTCTTGCTCTAGTTGACTATATTCTTGAGTTAAAACAACAATAGAAAAATCTTTCACGTGCTTTCTCTTGATTAAAAAATCCTTCATAAATTTTGAGTAGTTTTTTTGTAACATCTTGATTTTTATTTATTAGTTATTTTATTAGTTATTTATTTTATTAATTATTATATAATATAGTAATTAATTAATTGTGTGATTTGGTGAATATATATATTATATGTGTATTGAGTTATTGGGTGAGAGAATAGAAAAATAATTAATTGGGCCTCATATGTTACATTAGTGTGAGTGAGTAAGATAATCCCATTAGAGAAAAATAATAATTAGTAAGTGTTTTGTAAAACAAAAAGAGAATAGAGTTAGAAAGAGAAAATTGTCAAAACAAGAGAAGAGGAAAAGAGGAGAAAAGAGAGAAAAGAGAAGAGGAGAAAGAAGAATCTTAGAAAGGATCTACATCCAAGGTAAGGGTGAGTTTTCATTTGATAATGGGAGCATGTGATGTATGTAATGGGTAGTTACATGAGTTAGGGATTTTGTTCTTCAACTTCTAGATTTTAACATGTTAGGGTTTTGAGTGGAATCCATGAAATTGATGTTTGAATCATGTTTGGAGGTTCTAAATAAAAACTATATGTAGGTATGTATCTTAATGCCATAAATTATAGAAACTTGGATGATAAAATGGATTTTTGGAGTTAAAAATCGGACTGGTGTGATGATGTTTTTGTAGAATTCATTTTGCAGAAATCGTAGAGCGCGCTTAGCACGACTTTTCGTGCTTAGAGGGTTCACTACTGACTTGAGGGCGCTTAGTGCCAAAGATCGCGCTGAGCGCGACCTGAAACGTGGAATTTTATATTTTTCTTTAAATGATTAAGTATTTTGTATGCTTATGATTTATAACGGATTTCCATAAATTTTAATAATTTATTTGAGGTAAATTGGATAGGTTTTGGATGAATTTTTGATGAAAACATAACACTTGAATTTTTTGTATATGTGTTTGTACCCCAAAAAATTTCCTCCCATTTTCTTCAAGATATTCTTCTAAGATTCTCAAATACTCAAGGATTCTCAAGAGTTGATCAGACAAACTCACCTCCTACGCAATGGTCTTAGACTAGGGTTTGGTGCTTCTCAAAGAAATTTGGTTTGCAAGGGTCTCAAATGACTTTCATGGTTCATCATAGGTCTTAAATAATGCTTATGTCAAGTTTCAAGTCTTGCATCACATACTTGCCCAGTTAATTGCTCATATGACTAAAAATCAATTACATTGGGTAAAAAGTCAACAGTGGTCAAACATACAGTCAAACTTCAAGATTTTTTGTCAACATCAATATTTTGAGGTGATATTTTGATCAAGGGTTGACCATGATTCCTTAAGGAAAGCCCTCAAATCATCAAAGGTCAAAAATTGCCAAAATTAGAGTTTTGACTGAAGGTGACTGATCATTGACTTTTGGCCTAGTGCATGACCTAATGGCTTGAAGCATGATCTCAAGAGATCAAATACAACATCTTGACCTAATTACATAGCTCAAAACATTTCCAATGATGCAAATGATTAATAGTTGAAGAAATTGAATCAATTGATGAAAAGTCAACAGTCACTCAAAAAGTCAAACTTTAATTTTTTGGTCAACATTGGAATTCAAAAAATCCAGAATCATCAAGATATTCAAAACTATCAAACTTGATCATCAAGAATAAAAAAGTCAACAAAAGTAAAAAATTTGGAAAATTTTCTAACACTTAGAAAAACTCTAAGTGTTGTTGTTCTTAACAAAAGTCCTAACTCCATAGCCATTTTTGACTAATATCCAAGTTGGTTCAAAGAAAACTTTCAACATGAAAGTTATAGGGATTGATGAATTCTACAACTTTGTCAATGTGGGTTGATTTCCAAAAAGTTCTTGGATTAAGAGATATGAGCCCATGAAGTTCTGATTATTTTTATCCAACACTTAGAAAAAATTTTCAAAAAGTTTTGGTCAGTTTTTCATTTCAACTTCTTGGTCAATTTCCACCAAGTTACCATTTTATTTAGCCAAAATTCACAACATAAAAGTTGTAGACAATGTTTCAAACTTTCCAAAATGTCAAAGAACGCAAATTTATCATGCTTGATCTAGGAGATTCAAAGACATGAAGTTGAACATCCATTCTTGAAATATAAGTCATTTTTGTGATGAACTCATAACGAAATCTTCATGCCATGCCTTGTAATCTCACTTTGCAGGCCTCTAAACCAACAAATCTCTCCATAATAAAAAGATTACACTTGCTTTTGAGCTATTATCCAAGTGTTCAAACATTGTCCAATGCATAATTCCATTAATGGCACAAAGTTAACACTTGCATTTTGGAAAATCATGCTTTATGCAATTGTCAACTCTCCTTGAGCCTCTAACTTGTTGCTTCTTCACACACTCAATCTAAAAAATCAGAAGAAACTTGTTTAAAGTGTTCAGCAACTCTATGAGACAAGGTACAATGCATTGGAACCATGACTTTGCAAGTTACTTCAAAACCAAGCTTTAAAACCATAACTTATTATCTTAAGATTCTGGTTACTCCAAGATGTCAAACCTCTTTCCTATAAATAAAGAGGTCATTTGAAAGCTAAAGGACGAATACACA